CGGCACATGTTGCAGTCACAGAAGAGGACCCATGTGCACTTGTTTTGTTCTGAGAATTGATCGTCGAAAAACTTCCACATCGTCTGTATCAATCTTCGCTTTAAGCCTCGCATTTCTCGAAATTCAATTTTCTGATTTAGTCGGTTTATTAGACGGCACGTCGTGAATGTAAACTCTCCTCTAGCTTTTTCAGTTCTGGTCTTGTTTAGGTTGAACATTTCTTTCGTTCTTCCTGGATTTTCAATTTTTGCTGGGAGCATAATGTGATCGTTTTCTTCATGCATGAATTTCGCCATCATCAGTAACTCGTTCAGCTGGAGAAACAACGCAAGAGGCAGGATGTTTAACAATCTCAGCTGCTCTGTATAGTCAGAATCGTTTCCCGTGATCCATTTTAAGACTTTCTTTTGGAACCTTTCTAATCTCCCTAAGTCGCTTCTCGAGATATTGCAAATAATTAGACCATACGTTAGAACAGGAAGTATAAGGATTTGTACAGACCAAGTTTTATGCGCATTTTGACTTTGAGTTCTAAGTTTCTGCGGATGCAATAGAACGTTTTATTCGCTTTCGACATTCTTGAGTCAATATGGGTTGTCCATGTTAAATGTTTGGACACATGTATTCCTAGATCCTTTATCACATTCGAGCTTTCCACTGCTGTTTCACAAAGAATGAATTCGTGTTGATTTCCTCTAAATTCGACTTTAAAACATTTGTCCAGTGCCAGACTCATCTTGTTTTTGTCTACCCAGTTTTCAACGCTTTTTAGGTCCTGCTGGATGTCCTTTGTGTCTACATTCACTGCTAGTAATTTTAGGTCGTCTGCAAAGATAAATCGGTCACTAATTTTCAATACTTCACGAAGATCATTTATGAAGATACAGAAGAATAATGGACCAATCAACGATCCTTGTGGTACGCCACTTGTAATTTCTAAAGTTTCTGATGAGAAATTGTCAGCACGAACAAATTGTTTCCTGTTGCTGAGATAGTCTGCGATTATTTCAAGGAAACAGCCTGCAACTCCAATGTTGCTCATTTTCTTTAGTAGTTCATAATGTGGGACTTTGTCGAATGCCTTAGAGAAGTCGGTATAGAATGCGATCACATGGTTTTCAGCGTTCTTGTCAATAATAGCTTCGTAGATTTCTTTCAAGAAAGATAACATGTTTGTAACAACTGAACGGTTTTTAACAAAACCGTGCTGACTTCTTGTGAGAAATTTAATGAAATGGTCATACAACGCTGGATACATGCATTTTTCCAGGATTTTACTCATGATATTTAGGAGTGACACCGGCCGGTAGTTTTCCATTAGTCGTTTGTCACCTTTCTTGTAAATAGGCGACACAGCCGCAACTTTCCATTTATCTGGTATTTTCCTTACCCTCTTGATGTTTTTAAAAACGCAATGCAAAACTGTGGTCATTTCTCTGGCCGTTCGCTGGAAGAAAATTGGTGGGAATCCATCTGGGCCCCGCGATTTTGTTATGTCCAGCTCTGTTATAATTTGGTTCAAATATGTTTTTGAGATACTGAAGTTACTCAATATCGTGTTTTCGCACTTCATATCACTGAGGTTGAAGCTTGATTTGGGCGAAAAGACAGAGTGAAAATATTCATTCAAAAAGTTCACTTTTTCTTTGGCTTTGGTAACAGCTATTTCGTCCTTGATCATAGTCTTTGGGAGAGTTTCTGATTTTTTCAGTTTCTTAAAGTGTTTGAAAATTAAATGTGTGTTACGAGTGGACATCAAATTTTCCTGATAGTTTACTCTATCTTCCTCTACTGCTTCTTCAACCATTTTATTTAGAGATAGAATGAGATTTCTGCGGTAGCTTGTAGGTTTCAATTTGTATATTCTAGTTTGTGTTCGCAGTTTGTTCATGAGGTTTGAGGTACTTGGCGTAACCCATGGCGGAAGTGATTGGCGACGTCTCGTTCTTCTAGGCACATGTTGGTTTACCAAATTTTCCAAATAGTCGTAAAGTTCCTCGCACATTCTGTTGATGTTTGTGTGACATACTGGTGAGAAAGGCTCACTTAGTATTGATTTCTTGATTTCGTTATAGTCCACGCTACCGAAGCTTCGAAAGTTTTCAAAAGCGACTTTTAGCTCATGGTGAGGACATTCAATTAGAATGCTGATTGCTTTGTGGTCGGAGCAATTGTAAATTTTTGAGAAATTTTCGTCAGGAGTCGGATGAATGTGACAATTTTTGAATAATGTAATGTCTAGGATGTTTTTGCCACAAGTTGGAAAATCTATTGCCTGCTCGAACTGATGTTGCTCGATTAGTTCAATTATTGAGTTTTCTTCATTTTCCTTGCTACTATAGTCAATCCAGTTTGCATTTGGAAAATTTACATCTCCGCAAATAATTGTTGCAGTTGATTGATTTGATTTCTCGATTTCATTTAATATTTGTGCGAAATCGCCTAGACAATAGCGATATTTGCTGGTCGAATGTGGATTGTAAAAACAGCAGACAATAATTCGCTTATCGTTTATTTGGATGCTGCAAGTTAAACAACATTCAGGTTGCTTATTTGGCAATAATTTAGATGAAAATGTTTGTTTCACTGCCATTAGTACTCCACCATGCAAATTTTGATCTTTGGCTGTTTGTCGTTCTGATCTATAAATACTGTATTCATTTAGCTTTAGTTCAGATGATGCAATGTTTTCATTTAACCAAGTCTCGCAGAGACATATCATGTCATAGTTTGATGTTGCTATAGCATTTGCAAACTTCATTCGTCGTTCGAGATTTATGAGACTTCTTACATTCATTAGCAGGATGTTGAGAAAGCTCTAAGCATCATCTGCTTGTTCTGCTTCTATCATCTCTTTTTTCCCATCATTGAACAGCTCGAAATTCCTGATTTTGATTTTCTCCTTTGGGACTCCTTCGTCTAGAATTTCTCTTTTTAAGCATAGGGTTTCCTTCCTCGCATCTTCTTTCGATAATGCTGGCAGAAGGTAAATTTCCTCATCTCGCAGCTCATCTCTTTTTTCGAAGCTCTTTGCCAGCACCAATCGTGCTTCATGCTCCGTTGACAGAGTTATTAATAAGGTTCTTGACTTGATGCGCTCTTTGCTGATTTTCCCTAGCCTTTTTATTTCTTCAATTTGTGGTTTAACTCCTAACTTTTTTAGTACCTCATATACTTTTTCGGTTGTGGGGACAAAATTTTCGCCTTTTGATTTCTCGGGATCTTCTCTGATCCCCTGTATACGGAAGCTTTTATTGATATTATGATGTATTTCTTGTTTTACTTCTTTTCCAGCTCCTGGTTGAGCTTTCACATCTTTAACAGGTTTCACACTGAGTACATCTGCATAGCTTTTTTCCAGTTTTTAGCATGTGGTTTTTGTAGCGTTTTCGACTTTTTCATCAACCAATGCCGTCAGCCTTTTTTCCATATTTTCAAGACGTGCTTGTATTCCCTCACTCTCTTTTTCAATTTTCTCGTTCATTTGCATCATGGTCCTACACTTTATGAAGTTATCTCTTTCGTTATTAGTTACACATGTGTCGCATAGAAGCATTGCGTTTAAACCCAAGTCTTTTATGCCATTGATGGCGGTGTTAGTAAGACCAGTGCAGGTGCTCTCAAGATGCATTTGAGCATTGCAAGATACACAACTGAAATATCTGTCCCTGGCATTTATGGGTTTTTTGCACGTTTTGCAATTTTTAGTCATATTGGTGGATACAGAGAGAAGGAGAAAATGGGATAGAGAAAATTTATTTACAATTTGATCCAAGCCTGGACAATTAAGCCCAGTCCCGTCACGAATTGAAATTTATATTTGATCCAAGCCTGGACAATTAAGCCCAGTCCCGTCACGAATTGAAATTTAAATTTGATCCAAGCCTGGACAATTAAGCCCAGTCCCGTCACGAATTGAAATTTAAACTCACAATTTATTTCTGTTCTCGTTTCCTTCGTGCTTCTCGTTGTTTTTTTGACGGTTTCTTTTTCTTCTTTATGATATCACTCAAGTTGCTATTGTTGTTTCGTATTATAGCTAAAGTTTTGATTTCAAGTGCGGTTTCCTGATGCAGTTCTCTGTATCCTTCAAGTAGATCTTTGTCCTGTTGTTTCGAATTCGAAATTATGTCTGTTGTAACTTGAACAACTGGTATCGGAAGTTTTCTTAGATCTTCAAGAATATAGGGTGCACCGTCTCTCTGACAATAGACAAGGCCTTCAATTCGAGGATGCGAATTGATTAGGGGTTTGATTTCTGATACTAGTCGATTGGCAGTAAGGGGAGTCCTTGGATTGAATGGATGTTTTGAAATCGAATTATTTATTACGTCGTGCCAGATAATTACAGACTCGTTTCTATTAATTTCGTCTCTCAAGATGTTTCGTACGATTTTATTCGATTTCGATTTGGGAGGAAACGTTACAATCTTCAAGTGCCAGATGTAATGAGCTCGCTCCAATAATCACAACCATGAAAAAGGGGTCACCACGGCTACCCCGCAAATCATTTAACCTGAAACTATTTAAAGATGACTCTATCCCGCAACGTGTACTCAGGAATTACGACCACAATTGATTAATGATATATTTGTAAATTGGGTTGTAAACCGAGGGTAAAAATATGTTCTTTTTTTCCCATGTAGCTTCAGAGTTTCAATCTACTACTCTTTCTATCATAAATATGCCTTGACCCAAATAAATAGATACTGATAATAGCGTATTCTTGTAGATCACATAAAACGGCACTACAGTTTCAATCTAGATAAGGTCCGTATTGCATAAATTAATGCTTAAATGTGTGTTTTAATGATTGAAGAAGTTTTGCTCTATATGCTGCTTTTCAATATATTCTGCGCTATAAGCCGAATTTTGCTAACAGAATCCTATGGGGCCTGAGTTGACATCACTAGATTGGTTTTCAAGGATTTTTTAAACTTCAATGCCAATAAGTTCGAAAACGCTATAGCCAGTTTGGGTTCATTTCAGTTACATTTGAAATGATGGAAGAAATTAGTACCAGCAATCAAGCTAAAGCCTCACTAAGTCAACTTATTAAATGGCAATACCCTTGGATATCAGAGGCGAAAATTGCGTCATACGACTATGATCCAGTGAGTCTGCACCAGGAAATTATTGACTACTTCAACTATATGTGTCCCACTAGAGCTGAGCATGTTAGTCGCATTGATCTCATTGAACGTGTCCAAAAAGTAGTTTCAAGGACTTGGCCTAACGCTTCGTTCGAAGTTTTTGGAAGCTCCAAAACTGGATTGTATTTACCTACGAGTGATATAGATCTTTGCGTATCACTTGAAGACCTAGGCGATACTCAAGCAGACACAATTAGGGTTTTACATAGCTTGCGAAATGCCATACTTTCAGACGGAATTTGCTCTTCTGATTTCATAACAGTTTTGGAAGAAGCTCAAACCCCAATTATCAAATGTACTGATCGTGTGACGTTGTATAAAATCGACATTGGAATTAATCTTCGCAACCACAGTGAGAGCGCTAAGTTTACAGCTCAGCAAATCAGAAAATACCCGCAGCTTCCTTATTTGCTTTTTGTTTTGAAGCAGTTTTTGAGTCTTCGACAACTTCTTGAAGTATACACCGGAGGTATCAATTCATACAGCCTAGTGTTGATGATAGTTAATATGCTACAATTGCATCCACGAAAAGCTGATTGGCAAAATCAAGAAGTTAATCTTGGGGTGCTTCTAATCGAGTTTTTTGAGCTGTACGGCAAAAATTTTAATCACGAGCGGTGTACAATTAATGTCCTTGACGGTGGTTTCTACGAACCAAGATGTTACAACGACAGCGCAAATGTCAACTGTAAGTCGCCAGAATTTGGTAGTGGAAATCTTGTCAACTGTGTTTTGTTTGCTTATTTTCGGATGTATCGCGTTTTATAATCTAGATTTTCTGGTTACTCAGATAGTAAATTATATCAAAATTGCTTAGTTTAGTTTAGAGACGTTTAGTTTTACATAGTGCAGCTCAATCTTCTGGCTTATATTATTTTCCTCGGTTTCAGTGAGCCATTTATTATTCAATGTCAAACTAAAATGGCTTCCGAAAGCTAAATTGATTGGTTTTCAAGTTAATTAATGCGATGATAGAAATAATCTCTGCTACCTGCATAAGGTCTTCATTGTCTTCTGAAGTAATTGAACTTGATTTGATGTTTTCAGATTCAACTTTATCGATACAGGATCCCGTGGACAAAGACAATGATATCGGAAAATCGGACTTTTCAATGGTGAAGCTCACCTTTCACCAAGCCTACCTACAATTATGTAGAGTAATATATGACTATATTCCATTCATCCCAAAACCAGGCAAGAAACGTTTTGTTTGCTAAGTGAATTTTGTGTCGTTAGATTCTTGGCGGCTAGCTTGCCTTTTTTTGTGAGTTATCGCAAGTGATGCCAAATTCCGCTTTGCCTCATCAGCATAGGTAGTTTCTGTGAGCAAGTAGTCCTCGCTTCACAGCTCATGTTGATAATGTCTCTTGGATGTTGGTCAAACTCTGTTTCATTCATAACTCAATTTTCTGAAGCACGTGCTCATCAATAGGCCCAACCTCACCCTGCTTGTAGTAATGTTGCTCTCTTCGGTACTTTCCCTGACTTTTTTGGACAATTATGTCCGAGAATATGGCATAGACCATTTCTGGCTATGGTTGCGCAACAATGCGTTGCTATCTGTGTTGCTTATGAAAAAAAGATGTGTAGTCAGGATTCTGTGGTTTAATGTCGCTTACTAATCAGAAGGCCCGCATTCGAATGTCGATGCGCGCAAATATTATTTTTAAGGCTGATGTTGAATTGATCAATAATATGCGTGAAGTTTTTGTTGTTGTACAGTGCTGATTTAAATTAACCGGACAAAACGAGCTAAACTTGAAATTTAAAACGCGTTTTTCTCAAATTGGGTTGAGTTTAGGTGAAAACTTATGAAGAAAAAACATGCTTAAAATTTAAGCAGAATAAATATGTTGTAATTTATTTTGCGAAATTCGGGCCCAATTTTTTACCCCAAAAATGGGTCATTTTGGCTTTTCTTAGTTCATCAAAAATTACGCCGAGAATAACGAGTCGATTACAGACATAATTATATCAAAGTGAGCCCCTTACGTAGCCCAACAAACTTTAAGAAGGGTTTATTCTCCAAAAAAATTTGCAAACCGTTTAATATTAGTTTTTAAATCAAAAGTGGGTATTTTATATAGTAAAAACGACCTTTTTTGTCTATCAAACAATAATAAATTAATTTATACAATGTTTTGGAGATTATAACCTTCTTAAAATTTGTTGGGCTACGTAAGGGGCTCACTTTGATATAATTATGTCTGTGATCGACTCGTATTCTCGGCGTAATTTTTGATGAACTAAGAAAAGCCAAAATGACCCATTTTTTGGGCAAAATTTTGAGCCCGTATTTTGCAAAACAAATTACACCATATTAATTCTGCTGAAGTTTTAAGCAAGTTTTGTCTCGATAAGTTTCCACCTAAACTAAACCCAATTTGAGAAAAACGCGTTTTACTTTTCAAGTTTAAGGCGTTTTGTCCGGTTAATTTAAATCAGCACTGTAGCCTTGTTGGCTTTTTTTGTTAAATTTAGAGTTGCTTGCAAAGAGATGATCAAGTTTTTCGCGAACTTATTCGATCAATGAAATACCAATGTATATTAAAGTTTCATCACTTAAATAGCTCGTTTAGAAAGTTTTTTTTTATAACCGATTCGCTGCATGAAATATAAGGAATAAGTTCAGGGTTTCAACGCTTGGATAGCTTGCTTAAAAACTTCAATTTGCTGCAAAATGATTCCATCTCTAAAATAACTTAGTTGAAAGTTTCATTGCTTGAATAGCGTGCATAGAAACTTACTGTTTGCTTAGTAAATTTTTTGAACTCGCGACTGGCAGATGTATCTGTAAGAGGAACTCAATTTTGTTCTATACAAATGTTTGGACCTTTTTCAAAAAAATTCGACTGAGTCGCTTATGTGTCGTTCGGTTCTTGGCGACTAGCTTGCCTTTTTTTGTGAGTTATCGCAAGTGATGCCAAATTCCGCTTTGCCTCATCAGCATAGGTAGTTTCTGTGAGCAAGTAGTCCTCGCTTCACAGCTCATGTTGATAATGTCTCTTGGATGTTGGTCAAACTCTGTTTCATTCATAACTCAATTTTCTGAAGCACGTGCTCATCAATAGGCCCAACCTCACCCTGCTTGTAGTAATGTTGCTCTCTTCGGTACTTTCCCTGACTTTTTTGGACAATTATGTCCGAGAATATGGCATAGACCATTTCTGGCTATGGTTGCGCAACAATGCGTTGCTATCTGTGTTGCTTATGAAAAAAAGATGTGTAGTCAGGATTCTGTGGTTTAATGTCGCTTACTAATCAGAAGGCCCGCATTCGAATGTCGATGCGCGCAAATATTATTTTTAAGGCTGATGTTGAATTGATCAATAATATGCGTGAAGTTTTTGTTGTTGTACAGTGCTGATTTAAATTAACCGGACAAAACGAGCTAAACTTGAAATTTAAAACGCGTTTTTCTCAAATTGGGTTGAGTTTAGGTGAAAACTTATGAAGAAAAAACATGCTTAAAATTTAAGTAGAATAAATATGTTGTAATTTATTTTGCGAAATTCGGGCCCAATTTTTTACCCCAAAAATGGGTCATTTTGGCTTTTCTTAGTTCATCAAAAATTACGCCGAGAATAACGAGTCGATTACAGACATAATTATATCAAAGTGAGCCCCTTACGTAGCCCAACAAACTTTAAGAAGGGTTTATTCTCCAAAAAAATTTGCAAACCGTTTAATATTAGTTTTTAAATCAAAAGTGGGTATTTTATATAGTAAAAACGACCTTTTTTGTCTATCAAACAATAATAAATTAATTTATACAATGTTTTGGAGATTATAACCTTCTTAAAATTTGTTGGGCTACGTAAGGGGCTCACTTTGATATAATTATGTCTGTGATCGACTCGTTATTCTCGGCGTAATTTTTGATGAACTAAGAAAAGCCAAAATGACCCATTTTTTGGGCAAAATTTTGGGCCCGTATTTTGCAAAACAAATTACACCATATTAATTCTGCTGAAGTTTTAAGCAAGTTTTGTCTCGATAAGTTTCCACCTAAACTAAACCCAATTTGAGAAAAACGCGTTTTACTTTTCAAGTTTAAGGCGTTTTGTCCGGTTAATTTAAATCAGCACTGTAGCCTTGTTGGCTTTTTTTGTTAAATTTAGAGTTGCTTGCAAAGAGATGATAAGTTTTTCGCGAACTTATTCGATCAATGAAATACCAATGTATATTAAAGTTTCATCACTTAAATAGCTCGTTTAGAAAGTTTTTTTTTATAACCGATTCGCTGCATGAAATATAAGGAATAAGTTCAGGGTTTCAACGCTTGGATAGCTTGCTTAAAAACTTCAATTTGCTGCAAAATGATTCCATCTCTAAAATAACTTAGTTGAAAGTTTCATTGCTTGAATAGCGTGCATAGAAACTTACTGTTTGCTTAGTAAATTTTTTGAACTCGCGACTGGCAGATGTATCTGTAAGAGGAACTCAATTTTGTTCTATACAAATGTTTGGACCTTTTTCAAAAAAATTCGACTGAGTCGCTTATGTGTCGTTCGGTTCTTGGCGGCTAGCTTGCCTTTTTTTGTGAGTTATCGCAAGTGATGCCAAATTCCGCTTTGCCTCATCAGCATAGGTAGTTTCTGTGAGCAAGTAGTCCTCGCTTCACAGCTCATGTTGATAATGTCTCTTGGATGTTGGTCAAACTCTGTTTCATTCATAACTCAATTTTCTGAAGCACGTGCTCGTCAATAGGCCCAACCTCACCCTGCTTGTAGTAATGTTGCTCTCTTCGGTACTTTCCCTGACTTTTTTGGACAATTATGTCCGAGAATATGGCATAGACCATTTCTGGCTATGGTTGCGCAACAATGCGTTGCTATCTGTGTTGCTTATGAAAAAAAGATGTGTAGTCAGGATTCTGTGGTTTAATGTCGCTTACTAATCAGAAGGCCCGCATTCGAATGTCGATGCGCGCAAATATTATTTTTAAGGCTGATGTTGAATTGATCAATAATATGCGTGAAGTTTTTGTTGTTGTACAGTGCTGATTTAAATTAACCGGACAAAACGAGCTAAACTTGAAATTTAAAACGCGTTTTTCTCAAATTGGGTTGAGTTTAGGTGAAAACTTATGAAGAAAAAACATGCTTAAAATTTAAGCAGAATAAATATGTTGTAATTTATTTTGCGAAATTCGGGCCCAATTTTTTACCCCAAAAATGGGTCATTTTGGCTTTTCTTAGTTCATCAAAAATTACGCCGAGAATAACGAGTCGATTACAGACATAATTATATCAAAGTGAGCCCCTTACGTAGCCCAACAAACTTTAAGAAGGGTTTATTCTCCAAAAAAATTTGCAAACCGTTTAATATTAGTTTTTAAATCAAAAGTGGGTATTTTATATAGTAAAAACGACCTTTTTTGTCTATCAAACAATAATAAATTAATTTATACAATGTTTTGGAGATTATAACCTTCTTAAAATTTGTTGGGCTACGTAAGGGGCTCACTTTGATATAATTATGTCTGTGATCGACTCGTTATTCTCGGCGTAATTTTTGATGAACTAAGAAAAGCCAAAATGACCCATTTTTTGGGCAAAATTTTGGGCCCGTATTTTGCAAAACAAATTACACCATATTAATTCTGCTGAAGTTTTAAGCAAGTTTTGTCTCGATAAGTTTCCACCTAAACTAAACCCAATTTGAGAAAAACGCGTTTTACTTTTCAAGTTTAAGGCGTTTTGTCCGGTTAATTTAAATCAGCACTGTAGCCTTGTTGGCTTTTTTTGTTAAATTTAGAGTTGCTTGCAAAGAGATGATAAGTTTTTCGCGAACTTATTCGATCAATGAAATACCAATGTATATTAAAGTTTCATCACTTAAATAGCTCGTTTAGAAAGTTTTTTTTTATAACCGATTCGCTGCATGAAATATAAGGAATAAGTTCAGGGTTTCAACGCTTGGATAGCTTGCTTAAAAACTTCAATTTGCTGCAAAATGATTCCATCTCTAAAATAACTTAGTTGAAAGTTTCATTGCTTGAATAGCGTGCATAGAAACTTACTGTTTGCTTAGTAAATTTTTTGAACTCGCGACTGGCAGATGTATCTGTAAGAGGAACTCAATTTTGTTCTATACAAATGTTTGGACCTTTTTCAAAAAAATTCGACTGAGTCGCTTATGTGTCGTTCGGTTCTTGGCGACTAGCTTGCCTTTATTTTTTGTGAGTTATCGCAAGTGGTGCGAAATTCCGCTTTGC